TTTCTCTCCTTGGCTTACTTCCTTGAATAAGACGCCCTTCAATTTTTAGCTTAAGGATTTTAGAAAAAAGTATTGTCTTATAGTCGGAAAAATACGGTATGTCCCCCAAACCCCACTACAGGCCAGTAGGAATGGCAAGCAGTTGTTTGGTCCAGAGCCCGAAGTGGGCAGGGCCACCCAGAGGCATATGCAGGTGGGGTCAAAAAAGTCAAGTTGGAGGGAGCAACCAAGTGATTGAGCCCCACCCCTTTTTATGTGCGTGCAATGCAATTTAAAAAGGAGTAGGGCTTTGATCACCTGCTTGCACCCCCATCTTGACTTTTCTGACCTCCCCTGCAGATACCCCTGGGGCTACCTGTTCTTTCGCTTGAACACGCCTTCACAAGTCTTTTCTTCCTTTCCCTGTTTCTGACAGCCTTTCTTCTTTCTTTTTCTGTCCTGCTAGGAAAGGAATAGAAGTCAAAACTGATTTGAAAAGGAGCTTTGAAATTAGGCTGAGGGCCACATATGGAGGGTTGCCCACCCTGTTTTTATGTATATTGTTACTATAAGGTTCTTAATCTCCTCCAAATAGAAAAGTACTTACCTTTCTTAGGTCTGTCAGATCAAAATTTTATGAGACCATTAAGGAGGTTTACTAAGGCTAAAACATTCAAAAGACAAGGAAGTGTGTGTTGTGTTTTTGATATACACTAGAGCTGTGCAGCCATCCTGATTCAAAAAGGAAAAAGTGATTTGGAGTACACATTGATGCATATATCGTGCTTGTCAGCAGCTTCTTAAAGGAAGCTGTGTCTTTTTTCTGGGGCATTGCTTCTTTGGGGAGTTGGCTGCAGGCATGATGTGCGCATCATTGCGTGCTCCAAATCATCTTTTCCCCTTTGAATCGAGATGTTTGTACAGCCCTAATAGGCCCTTGTAGTGCTCTATATTAAGGGCGTGTTTAAAAAGGAAAAATGTTTAGCAGCTCTATAGCATACTGAGTTATAAATTGTGTGTTATTTAACTTGGTTTCTATGCTCTATATTGTTTTAGTAGGTGTTCAAGAATCTTGCTGGATATGCATGTGGGAATGTGAAATGTGGGGATTTGAAGTGTGTGTAAGGATATATGCATGTATATTACTGTACATATATCCCTGTACCAGATATTATTTCTATTCACGTCCATGCAAGTTGTTCCAGAAACCTTTGAGAAGACATTAAAAAAGAGGAAGCAACAATTATAAGCACTTCTTTTCTAAGCATCTAAATAGTGAGTAGCTTTTCTGCTGAAGTCAAATAGACTTAGCAGTTAACCCTATGACTGACTCTTGAGGATGACGTCAATGGGGGAAAAATCCAAACAGAAATTCTCTTAAAGTTTGCTTCTTTCCAAATGTATAAAGATGTGTACTTTTCCCTGTTTTTTTGTTGCCATGTTCTATAATCATCATGCTATTCCATTTTCTGGTTCTTTTAAGTTTCAGATCTGTTCAAATAGAACTTCCTTTATTTTGAGAATGTTTTTAACTTTTAAGGGAAGCCCAGACAAAGGCAGACATTATTGGAAAGTTAGAGTGTAGCTGCCTGCAAACAGAAAATGATGCATGGAGACATGAATGAAGTACAGAGCTGTACTGTTTGGGTGCTTAATCCTTTAGAAATTTGGCCGATGAAATTATTTTCACTTCAGTAAAGTGGACCTAATATTGCAGAACTTAAAAGCTCATGCAGTTTAAGAGGAAAAAAAAGCACCCGGTTAAAACCCTTCTGAACTGGCATTTCTTCAGAATGGAGAAATGACTAGAGGTAAACTGTTTCCATTCTATCCTCTTCTCTTTCTCTTTTTTGGGGATGGGTATCTGTCTTTTTGTTTTTGTTTTGTTTTTTCTTCTATTTTTTACCCCCCCCCAAAAAAAACATCTGTATGCATGCAGAATAAGACCTGAGGAAAAAATCTTTCACAAAGGGCTTATTTTTAATGTGGCAAAGCATTCAAATATTTACTTACTGCACATGCATATAAAGAGATACAATAATTCCAGAAGAATAGTATCACTTTATTATTTTTAGATGTGTATTAGCTTTGATTTTTTTTGTTCTGATATCATGTTAAACCATATTTTAGTATTATGTAATTAAGCTCTCTGCTTCTCTGGCATTGGTCATTTGAAAGTGTTCATAATGTTTCCTTTTGTTTTCAAATAACTTTTGTTTCTCATTTGTTTAAGCAACCCAACTGCATAGCCCACAGTTTTAAGTTGGCTTGTTTTCAACAAACAGTGGTTAACATTAAGCCAGAATTTGTTGGGTAAAGCTATTGGTAAGCAAAATCATCTAAACTATTTACAGCTGCATCAGAGGAGAAGCGAGAACAAAGAGCAAAAGTTATAGGATTTTTTATCATTTTTTATCATTTTACCCAACTAACATATTGAGTACATTTTATTTTCAAGGGTTTTGTTCATTGCTGTGACTACAGATAGCTAGCAAACAATCTTGTGCTGACTTCATAAATAATATGCCTTGACTGTAGCCTTTGCACTTATAAACTATAGGATCCTCCAGTCTAGAAGAATATAAGAATTGTAATTGTGAGAGAACAACAATAGTTGGAATGTTTGAAGTCTAGCTGTTGAGACTGAAGGTATAAATCAGTTAAAAGCCCTAAGTATGAGAAAAGCAAGTTTGTGGGGAAGATTGAGGGTTGAATAAAGGTCAGGTACAGAACTAGTCAAGAGTCAAGGAGATAGAAGAAAGAGTACAGAAAAACAAAAGAATAAGAAACAGCAATTTGAAAAAAAAAATAGGTAGAAAATGTGCCCCAGATTCATATTTGAATGTACTTTTGCGAAATTGTTTTGAAAACACATAGTGTAAATGAGGCAGGATTCCATCTCAAGCATAGTGGACTTTCTCCTTTGTTTTAATTGAATCACATCTATCATCTCATGCTCCCATTATAATATTTTACAGTATATAAACACTGTGCTGCATCAGCCCAGTTTCACTGATAGTGGGTTTAAGGTTATTTGGATGTTTTCATGACACAGAAGAAGATATGTGCATCAGTGCTTAGGATGTAAGTATTTTATTTCACTTGTAAAATATTCTGTTTTATTTTCATTGGCAGATTGACAATTTGACCAGCATAACTACTGATGCTTAATCATCTAGAAAGGGACATAATTCAATGGTAGAGCACACAGTGTGAGCTCCAGAGTCATTCTCTGGTTTTTCACTGCCAGTTGGTAGCAGCAGTACTGAGCTGGGTAGTCCAGTGATT